GGGTGTTATATGTTGATCATTGTGATCAGTTCTCCCTTTCTCCCCACAACTTCCCCTTACCCTCCTGTTATCGCTACTCTCATTATTGGTCCTGAGGGGGTTATCTGTCCTGGATTCCCTGTGTTGCAAGCTCTTATCTGTGCCAGTGTACATGGTCTGATCTAGCTGGATTTGTAAGGCTGAATTGGGGTCTTGATAATGGGGGGGGAGGCATTAAAGAACTCAAGGAAAGTTGTGTGTTTGTTCAGTGCTATACTACACCCTGACTCACTCATCTCTTCTTTTTGACCCTTCTCTAAGGGGATGTCCAATTGTCTACAGATGGGCTATGCCTCTCCATTTCACCTTCCCCCTCATTCACACTGATTCAATTTTTTGTTCTGGGTCTTTGATGCCTGATGCTTGATCCCATTAACACCTCATGATCACACAGGCTGATGTGCTTCTTCCATGTGGGCTTTGTTGCTTCTCAGTTAGATGGCCACTTGACCTCAGGTGCTATATCTTTTGATGGCCAGGCATCATCAGCTTTCTTCACCACATTTGCTGATGCACCCATTTTGTATTCAGCCATCATTTCAGGGAAGGTGAGCATCACAGAAAATCCTTGTTTTTCTGTAGCTGTGCCTTCAAGTTAATTAACCCCCAAGTCAGTGTTGTTACATATGTGCACATCCCATAGAGAAAGCCTTCGGTTTGATGCATAGGGCTTGTGTCTTGGTATAAAATCAGAAGTCTCAGAGAGCACTTTCCCCTGTCTTCTCACTTGGAAGAAAGGCTCCAGGAGCCTCGAGAAGGAAAGCATCCTGCAGGCAAAAGGCTAGTCTTCCCAGCAACACTGTACATAGATGCCAGGCATTCTCACCCTGTTCCACAAAGGTGTGATAAATGACTCTCTCTTGGTGGGGGCAACAGAGAGCAGTGGGACCTTACACTAAGGGTCATCATCAACAGTTCACAGAGAGCCGAGAGTCAGAGGGTATTAGAAATACAGCAGTCAGACAGAAGACTGTCTAGGTCACTGTGGCGAATGACTTCCAAGGTAGAAAAGCCAGCAGGACCCAAAATATTTCAACCTGAAGATGGTGGTTTTTTGGCAAGTGTCACTGTCCTTCAGCAGCCCCTCAGATAGCTGCCATACCACCTCCCCTAAAGGTCTCCTTATTTGGGTTCCTGCTGGAGACCCACATTGAGCATCTATTTCTGGCTGTACATTCACACTTTTCTTTTCCAGCTCCTACGAGCAAATATTTCAGCAAGTTCTCATTACTATTCACAGGTTTGTCCTTAGGACACCATCTTTCTAGTCAGTCCAGTGGTGGGATTCAAATAATTTAACAATAGGTTTGCTGCCCTAATGAACATTTTAAGTATAAAAAAATACACTGAAAATGGTTTAGTATTCCATACAGTTATTACTTAAATAAGAGTTAAATCTGACACATGGCAACCCTATTAAGGTCAGTGCAAAGCCACAAAGATCACTTCAAGCCCTGCGCCACCCTCAACTATTTTCTTTTTCTGCTCAGAAAGATGTTTCCCTGTCCCCTCCAAGGTTCATTTCTACATGGATTCCTAATTCTAAACTGTGTCTCAATGTTGTTTTTTCTCTGCCGTATCTTTATTTCTTTGTTTTAATGCTTCCTGCATATGATTATGCTCAAACCTCTTCATCCTGTACAAAATCAAAAATGTTTTCTAGGTCCCTTCTTTTGCCTGGGATCTCCATCAGCTTTTCTCTTTTTCCCCACCTAACAAAATTATTATAACTTATATTAACAAACTAGTATAATTATAAAATGCACACTAATAAATATCAGTCATATTCACACTCCCTGTCATTAATTCAGCTTCTACTCATAGGGACACTATAGGACAGAGTAGAACTGCCCCCGTGGGTTTCTGAGACATTAACTCTTGGTGGAAGTAGAAAGCCGACCGATTCTTTCTCCCAAGGAGCAGATAGTGGGTTTGAACTACTGGCCTGGTGGTTAGTAGCCCAATGTGTAGCTCATTCCACCACAGACTGATAAATAAGCCAAAGTCACTGTCATTGAGTTGATTCTGACTCACTGTGATATGGTTACTAGGTGCTGTGGAGAACACGCCATGGTGCTGTACCATTTTCATAATTGTTCCTTTGCTTGAGGCCATTGTGGCAGCCACTGTGGCAGTCAATTCCTCTTTTTGAGGCCTTCCTCTTTTTCTCTGCCCTTGCACTTGACCAAGCATGATGTCTTTGTCCAGGGACTAGTCTCTCATAATAACATGCCCAGAGTGCATGAGCTGAAGTCTCAACATCCTTGCCTCTAAG